TGGTTCATTGGGGGCTTGACTATGGGATTCATAGATAGAGAGAAAGACAGAGAGAGAGAGAGAGAGAGAGAGAGAGAGAGAGAGAGAGACCATGCTTTCTGATCATTATGTGAGCCTTTTCCCTCTGTCACACACTTCTGTGAAGCTCAGCCTCACCTGGAGCCTGGAGGCCTGGTTCGGGACTTCTTTGAACTAAGACCTCTGAAACTGTGAGCCCTCAAATGAACTTTCCACCTTTAAGGTTTTGGTGGTCGAGTCCTTTAGTCACAGCAGTGAAAAAACTGAGTAAAACATTTCTTTTTCTTTTTCTTTAAAATTTTTTTTTTTTATTTTCAATGGGTCTTTTTAAAAATTTATTTATATGCATGCAGTGCTGAGGATGGAGCCCAGGACCTCACACATGCCAGGCAAGCACTCTACCACTGAGCCACAACCCAGCCCAAACATCTCTCTTTTTATAAAGACGTTAATATCGCTATGGAGGACTGAGGATATAGCTCAGTTGGTAGAATGCTTGCCTCACACGCACAAGGCCCTGGGTTCAATTCCCAGAACAACCAAAAATAATAATAATAATAAATAAGTAAATATCACTATGGGGGTCCACCTCCAAATACCATTAAAATGAATTTGGGGTAGTTTCCAACACATGTCAGGGGGTACATTCAAACCATAGTGCCAACCTATGGCTTCTTCATGAAACTTTTCCTTTTTCCACTACAAGTTTTTCCTATTCCCCTATCTGTTTTTGATTTCTACTAAACAGTACATGGTAGTAGTGATTGACTCCTTATAGGAAGCTCTGAATAGTCTTTTTTCTCATATGGTTTTCATTTATTTTCTATGCAGAAAGACCCTCTTGAACCTTTCTGTAGTGGTACTTTCCCCAGTTAATGTTTAAAATGTTTCCCCAGCCAGATGTAGTGGCTCACACCTGTAATCTCAGCAGCTTCCAGAGGCTGAGGCAGGAGGAGTGCAGGTTTGGAGCCAGCTCAGCAATTTAGCGAGACCCCTGTCTCTAAATAAAATATAAAAAGGGATAGGGATGTGGCTCAGTGGTTAAGTACCCCTGAGTTCAATCTCCAGTACCAAAATTTTTTTTAAAAAATCAACAAAAACATGTCTCCCTGTCCACTAGACTCCAAGCACAACAAAAATAGAGTGGTGACACACACATGTAATCCCAGAAAGTTGGGAGGCTGAGGCAGGAGGCTCACAAGTTCCAGGCCAACCACAACAATTAGCAATGCCCTAAACAACTTATCAAGGACCTGTCTCAAAATTTTAAATAAATAAATAAAAATAAGAAAAGTTGAAGATATGGCTCAGAGATAGAGTTTCCGTGGGTTTCATCCCTAGTACTGGGGAAAAAAATAGAGAAAGGATATAATTATGAACTAAGCTTTTTACAATTTATTTCATATGACTCTTATATGCATTAATACTTGAGACTAACAGGGTTGCTTAAAGGTATAGAAAACACAGAGCCAACCTTTGCATTTAGCTTTATTAGGTCTGACTTAGATATCATCATCATCAGAAAGAACTATATCATCAATGAACACTCAATGGAATATTCTGTTCTCACAGTCCTCATTTAACCTCAACAGACAAACACTGATGTCAAAAAATATTTAATATTAAATAGGGCTGGGGTTGTGGCTCAGTGTAAGAGCACTTGCATAGCATGTGCGAGGCCCTGGGTTCGATCCTTGGCACCACATAAAAATAAATAAATAAATAAATAAAGGTATTGTGACCAACTACAACTAAAAAATAAAAAAGTACTTACCCACAAAAATCTTTTCATTGAAAGTTGAAAACTGACTGGAAATCTGTAAAAACTGGAACCAGAAGAAAGTCGCTACCTCAGAAAAGTTCTTCCTGAGGAGAGGTTAGATGACAGTTATAGATTTAGAAGTTCAGCTTTCCAAAGTTTAAGAATTTTTTCAGAATAATTTTATCAACCAAATATAGCTTATTCTTACATGTCTCATATCTCTCAGAAACATTAAAAAATACTTAGTACCAATTCCAGTTTTTTTTTTTTTTAAAGAGAAAGTGAGAGAGGAGAGAGAGAGAGGGAATTTTTAATATTTATTTTTTAGTTCTCGGCGGACACAACATCTTTGTTGGTATGTGGTGCTGAGGATCGAACCCGGGTGGCACGCATGCCAGGTGAGCGCGCTACTGCTTGAGCCACATCCCCAACCCGACCAATTCCAGTTTTTAACTATATTAAAATTATTTTCCAAAGTTCATTACTAATTAAGTTAGACTGCATTTGAAATAACAGAAAGCTACCCTTATAAAATTTATTTTCCTCTGTCCTGAATAAACTCATTACAGAATCATTAGTACACTTATTACTCACCTCTTCTTTTGAAAAAATAATTTATTTCCTAAGACCACCTTAGTTCCTGCTTTTCTTCTCCTTTCTTTCTTGATCCATGGGTAGTTCTGACACCACATATGTGTGAAGAATCCAGTGTTAAGCTTTATTCCACTGGTGGCTGGCTACATAATCATCTGTTCATTTCTCCAGAAAAATAGGATAAAACTGCTGACAATTCACATTTTGAAATTGTATTTGTAAGGAAATCCAGAAATACAGTCATGGCTTACTTTTTCAAATTTGTTATTATCACCAACATGTAGGGAAATATGATTATTTCTCTGTATTTCTTCTAAATCTGTTTCTCCAAAATCAGTGAAAAATATTTAAACAAATAACTTTCTAGTTTGACTGAAGCCAGGCAGTGTTTTTCTGTCCCCCAACTGTCTAGTTAAAATTGTAAGCACTAGGGCTGGGGATGTGGCTCAAGTGTACCACGCTCGTCTGGCATGCGCGGGGTGCGGGGTTAAATCCTCAACACCACATAAAAATTTTTAAAAAAATAAAGATATTGTGTCCACCTAAAAAAACAACAACAATAAAAAAACTAAAATATGAATAAAAAATTGTAAGCACTAATTCCTTAGCTCTTAACCTAAAGATTGTCCTCATTTTATCTTCAATTAAGAGTTACATTAGGGGCCTGGGATTGTGGCTCAGTGATAGAGTGCTTGCCTAGCATGCACAAGGCACTGGGTTCGATCCTCAGCACCACATAAATGTAAAATACAAATTGCATGGAAATGGAAGGAGACCGTCATGGTTATACAAAATTATATACAAGAGGAAGTGAGGGGAAAGGGGGAAAAAAAAACAAGGGGGAGAAATGAATTACAATAGATGGGGTAGAGAGGGGGTAGAGAGAGGGGAGGGGAGGAGAGGGGGTAGAGAGAGGGGAGGGGAGGGGAGGGGAGGGGGGGATAGTAGAAGATAGGAAAGGCAGCAGAATACAACAGACACTAGTATGGCAATATGTAAACAGCGGATGTGTAACCAATGTGATGCTGCAATCTGTATACGAGGTAAAAATGGGAATTCATAACCCACTTGAATCAAAGTGTGAAATATGTCAAGAACTATGTAATGTTTTGAACAACCAACAATAAAAATAAAAAAAAAAGAGTTACACTAGGTTTGAAGTCATTTCTTTGCAAGTTAAAGGCAGTGCTTTTTCTTTAAAAAGTCTTATTAAACATCAGTTTGTAAATTAATTGAATTCATTCACAGCATGGCTAGATTCAGATATAATACTCCAATTATTTATTGCACTTTGTGACCCAACACAAACTACTTAATCCACTCCTGCCTTGTTTCCTATCTGTAAAATGAATATAATAGTACCTAACTCACAAGGTTGACCTAATAACAATAATAATGTGTAGGTGTTGGCATTAGCTTTTTCCCTTGCACTATTCACGCATAAGCAGAGATTTTTTTTCTTTTAAAAAGAGCAAGTGTGGCATGTATACACAATAGAATATTACTCAACAATAAAAGAGAATAAAATCATGGCATATACAGGTAAATGGATGGAGTTAGATAAGATAACGCTAAGTGAAGTTAGCCAACCCCCAAAAAACAAATGCCCAATGTTTTCTTTGATATAAGGAGGTTGATTCATAGTGGGATGGGGCGCCCAGAGCTGGGAGGAACAGACCAAGTCTAGATAGGGCAGAGGGGTTGAAGGGGAAGGGCGGGGGGCATGGGGTCAGAAGTGAGGTGGAAAGTGGTTGTTGGGTGCACAGGTGATCATTATTATCCAAAATACAGGTCTGAAGACACGAATTTGTGTGAATATACTATGTATATAACTAGAGATATGAAAAATTGTGCTCTATATGTGTAATAAGAATTGTAATGCATTCTGCTGTCATTAAAAAAAAAAAGAGTTGTGGGGAGGTGATAGCTACCTCAGGAGTAATAATCATTTCAAATAAAAATAAAGCAATCTTTGAAGTGACCAAGCAGGAGAAATCTCAGCAAAAAATTAATTTTTCATTCATTTGGCATCAAATAAATCTAGATTGGACTTGTCTCTTTAGGAGAAAGTCACAATATTTAACCACTTTTTAGGTCACCTTCTACCCCTCGAAACCGGAAAAAAACACCCTTTCGCACTTTGCTTTCTTTTCAACTTCTTTGGATCAACTTGATTTTTTTTTCCTTTTCTGATTTTATAATTAACTAAAATGAATCGCTTGTTTTACTACATGAGTAAAACAAGCAAATAATACCAATTAATATGTCTTGCGATTATTATTTATCCGTAGGATTGGAAGCTGCTCAATGTCCAGATGTTATGAATTTTAAGGTGCAATGTAAATTGCCTACCAGAGGTTGAAGAATTTAGCGTTCCATAAATGATAATTATAGTAATACTGCTCATTAATTTAAAAAACACTATTAGGAATGCATAAAAGTTCACCCACAGTCTTCAGAAACAATTCAGGATAGCTTTTGCATGAATTAAACTCCGACTGGGCCACACACCGCCGGAGTGTAAATGTCGAGGAAAAAGCAAGAGGATTGCGCACGCGCAGTTTCTCCGTTCCGCCCAGCCGCTTGCTCAACTCCGCGCCAAAGTTGCCTGATTGTGCGCCTGCGCCATGACCTGCACTAGGCGCATGCGCTGCTCAGGGCTGGCCTCATCCAAGGCCATGGCGTGGGTACCATCGGAGTCTGCAGTGGAAGAGTTGATGCCCCGGCTATTGCCGGTGGAGCCCTGCGACTTGGCGGAAGGTTTCGACCCCTCGGTACCTCCGAGGACGCCTCAGGAATACCTGAGGCGTGTTCAGTGAGTGATTCGGCTCTGTGCGGGTGGGCTGGTTATCCGCCCAGGTCCAGGGCACAGCGCTTGTTGCCCATCTCACCCGTGTGCTACAAAGCCCCGCCTCTGTTCTAGTCCCAATCTCTCGCGAAATAGGGACTGCTCAAAATCTCAGGATTATTTCCTGACACGGGCAAATTCCCTTTGAATTTGATTGCACACATAAGACATGCTCTTGGATTTCCTTGCTTTTAATCTAAATAATTTCGGACATATGTTTGTTGTTTAGTACCTCTATCGGAAGTCTTCTGATTTCATAATGAATTAAAATGAATCACTTGTTTAATTACATGAGTAAAGCACAATAGTAATTAAATTCCTTGCGTTTATTACTTATTCTTAGGATCGAAGCTGCTCAGTGTCCAGATGTTGTGGTAGCTCAGATTGACCCAAAGAAGTTGAAAAGAAAGCAAAGTGTGAATGTTTCTGTGAGTTTTAATAACCATCTGGGAGATTTGTCTGTCCGTTTGTCTGTCTCTCTAACACACTAAGGCTCTTCTTACACTATCCAATAGTATAAATTATGGTGTAGGTAAGATTTCGTCCCTACAAAGAGAGACGTTGTCTTGTACTTTTTCCTCCATAGAGACAGTTGACTTTCTCCAGAGATTTTTCAGTAACACTGATATTTGTGGTGACTTGATCATCTTATTTTAAGGACATAATCGTGTCCTAAAGGAGTCTCTGTTACTTTTTTTTTTTTTGTAAGTTTTTTCTGGCTCTGTCTTGATCATTATTATTGAACTGGTGTTTAATCTTATCTAATGTAGTTTTGCACGTTCTGAATTTGCCCTGATATCACTTTTTAAGAGTAAAAACCCAAATGTCTTAAACCTTTCTTGCTACTTGCAACTGTGGGCATTTTCATTCACTTATTTATCCAGCACACTTTTTTGGTGGGGATTGAACTCAGGGGCACTGGACCACTGAGCCACAACGCAGCAGTATTTTGCATTTTATTTATAGACAGGGTCACACTGAGTTCCTTAGTGCCTCACTTGTTGAGGCTGGTTTTGAACTTGAGATCCTCCAGCCTGAGCCTCTGGGATTACAGTTGTTCGCCCCTGCACTCAGGTTCAGCACACTTTTTATTGGGCAACTAAGTTGTGCCAGGCACTAGAACACAACAAAGGATAATATAGAAAAGTCTTACCTGGCAGAGTTGGTGGCACACTTCTATAATCTGGGGGGTTGGGAGGCAAAGGCAAGAGGCAAGAGGATTGTAAGATCCTCAGGTAATTTAGGGAGATCCTGTCTCAAAATAAAGAATGAAAAGGACCTACAGATACAGTTCAGTGATGGATCACCTCTGCATTCAATCTCCAGCACCACAAAAAAAGAAAAGAAAGAAAAAGTTCTTACCCTCCCAGAGTTTGTACTCTCCTAGGGAAGGCCGAGAGTAAACAAGCAAATGAAATATGTAATTGTAACCCTTCTTTTGAAGAAAATAAACATGATCAATAAATGAAAGAGAACTATTAAATAGTCATAGAATAATATCTCTAAAGTTAAAGGGAAGTGGCATTTTAAAGTTTTAATAATTTCCTTTATATGTTCTGAATAGTTCCATTATATCATACTTAAAGTAAGAAAATTTTAATTCAGACACTATGTTTCATATAACTTCTTTTCAGAAGTTTTTGATTAATAGAACATGGTGTCTTATATACATAATACTTAAAAAGTGACCCCACTAAATATTGTTACAAGGTTATATGTAATCAGTTGTGAACTATGTACTGTTTTAGAAAACAAGTAGACTTTTTAAAGTCAAGATTCTTTAAATGTATTATGCCCATACCAAACTTCTTTATTTAAAGTATTCCTCTCTTTTTATGTTTTGCAGTTATAGAGTGGTAGGACTGAATTATACATTTAGGGTTTACATCATTTAAATTTCTTAGAAACTCCAACTATAAACCATTCCAATTTTTTTTTCCCTATGCTGGGAATTGAACCCAGGGCCTCATGCATGCTAGGCAAGTACTCTACCACTATGCTATATCCTCAGCCCCATTCCAGATTTTTTTTTTTTTTAATTAAAGTGGCTGAGGATCTTTTTGAACCCAGAGATGCTTTACCATTGAGCTACATCCCTAGACCTTTTTATTTTTTATTTTGATACAGGGTTTCACTGAGTTGCTTAGGACCTCACTAAGTGACTGAGGCTGGCCTGGAACTTGCAATCATCCTGCCTTACCCTCCATTGCTGTCCTAACATTTTTAACTGAGACTAAATTGTAAAGTGAAATGCCTGCTATTTTGCACCTGTAAAAAGTGTGGGAGACCAACCTTAAACGTGACTGAGTTACACTCCCCGGCTGGTGCTGAGGCACTCAGTTGCAGAAATGTGGCAAAGCTTTCCCCACCCATCTTGGGTCCGAGGGTTGGTCTCGTGCCTGGATGTGTCTTGCTACACAGCCCATAGGTGAAGCTATGCTCACCTGTTCCTTTATAATATAACCCCTTGCCCTGTTTAGGATAGAATCTTCCATGGAAGTGCCTTGTGTGTGTCCCCTTTTCTTACTGTGCCCTTGAGTGTGGCCTACCCAGGTGTCAGTCAACCTGCTGACAGTGGACATCATGAAGATAGACTCAGCCCCCTAAAACCTGACCCCTTGCTTCATTTAAATAACTTCTCCTCAGTAAAAGGGGTCAGCACGTGCTCTTGCTCTCTCTCTTTCTGAGGACCCTTAAGGTCGGAGGAGCCATCACAGCGACCCCAAAGAAAAAGGTGTTTGTGTCTCTTGTGTGGTTATTTCATGCAGCCCATTTAGCCCAGTTTATCTGGAGTGACCCCTGAGCCTTTTAGTTGCGAGAACTGAAACCCAGCAAAAAAGTATCTTTTTTTTTTCTTTGTCAATGCTAGGCATTGAACCCAGGGCCTTGTACATACTAGGAAAGAGCTCTACTACTGAGCTATATACATTCCCAACTCCATTTATTTTTTTCACTTTGAGATAGGGTCTTGCAAAATTGCCCAGGTTGACTTCAGAATTTGAGATCTTCCTGCTTCAGCTTCCAGAGGAGCTGAGATTACAGATGTGTGCCACCAAACCTGATCTAGTTTTGTTTTGCTTTTGGGGGGCTTTGTTTTCTTTGGTGCAGAGGTGTTGCCAGGAATTGAACCCAGGGCATTGTGTATGCTAAGGAAGTACTCGACTATTGAGCTATATCCCCATCCCTTTTTTCTTAGGTAGACTTAGTTATTCACTTGTTTTATATATTTTTCATCTTGCTTTTACTTTGTAGAGGTATGAGAGGTTGATGCTAACATTTAGGAAATGATCTCTAGCTTTCAGGATGTCAACCTGCCCCTGAAGGTTATTCCCCAACACTTAAGTGGCAACAGCAACAAGTAGCACAGTTTTCAACTGTTCGACAGGTAAGTATCAAATTTAATCAATTAAACCCTCTTCAGATTTTATTGCTTTTCTTAGACTATAATTGGAAAGCTAAGATATGTGATTTTAAAGCATATATAATATTTATGAATCAATTTTTTAATTATTATCATTGGTATGTTACAGTTTGTAACTTATTTTCCAAATTTTAGAGTGGTTAGAATTTTGTGTGGAAAGTGATTTCAGTTACTCATCTTGTGAATCACTGTCCAACTTTTCTTCCTTTAGAGTGTGAACAAACATAGAAGTCACTGGAAATCACAACAGTTGGACAGTAATGTGACTATGGTATGTAAGCTTATCAGTTTAAGTTTTACAATGTATACCTGTATGAAATATCTATATTTATTTCCAGTCTTCAAGGATTCATTTGCTTAGTCTATATTATTTTAATTCTCTTTCACATACCATTATTTAATAGTAACAATGCCATTATATTAGTAGCCTGAAAAATAACCCGTAGTGCAAGTTGGTATTTTCATTACTGTTTTAATCCACCATATCTTGGGCAGACTTGGATATGTGAAAGAAATGTAAAAGTTGTCATAATCAAAATGGAGCTACTTTGTCAACTGCAACAATTAAAGGTAAAGAAAGCCAGGAAGTAATGAACGATTCTTATGCATGGTTGCCAAATAGTCCATCATAAAGGATTCTGCCAACCTACAACCTTGCACTAAAACCACTGCAACCTTATCAGAAGAACTTCTACAAGGATATCTGCTAGGCAATTGTCTGTTCAACTTCAGAATGACTCCAGTTTTGTTTTTAATCACTATGCTCAAATATTATTATTTTTGAAACCTCCGACATAACCTTCATTCTTGTCTTAAAACTTCCCCTTGCTTCAACCTCTTTTAATATGCCTGTGGTTAACTATTATCTCTGGTTCTAATTTTTTCTTTAGGTTGACAAATAGGCATTATTTGACCTCTCTAGTTTTTAAGAATTCTTCTGAACAGTACCTTTTGTTGTTGTTTCTTTTTTTGTTTTTGTTTTTGTTTGAGATAGGGTCTCACTATCTCAAACCGGCCTTAAACTTGCTGTCCTCCTACCTCAGTCTCTCTAGTAGCTGGGATTATAGGCATGTTCCACTGTGCTTAGCTGAATAGTTGCTTTTTAGGAAATCAATATATTTTCAGTATTATAAAAGACTGAATAAGAGTTATTGGGTTTTCCTAGAAGGATAATGGTGCCATGTAGTAAACTCACATGGTTACAGAGTATCATCTCAGCTTTACTGTAATGATGACATAATAGTGAAACCTGTCATACATATTGGAAAATTATATTTTCTACATTTTTTCAGTTTATATATAATTTTAAGCTCTTCAGAAGCTATGTGAACTCTTCCAAGTAAAAATAGGAGTTGAGGAAGAAAGAGATGGATATGGTGTTGCAAGCAGTCTTTTTTTTTTGGTGGTACTGGGGATTGAACCCAGGGCCTTATGCAAGCACTCTATCAACTGCGCCATATTCCCAACCCTCAAGCAGTCATATGCCTCATACATGCTAGGCAAGCGCTCTACCACTGAGCCATAACCCCAGCCCTCAAGCAGTCATTTTTAATCTTTGGGGAATCACATATTGCTTCTGAGAATCTAATAAAGGCTATTTATCTTCAGAGGAGGGAAAAAATAAACTCCTGGAGTATTCAGATTTCCTAGTCAGATTGGATTAGAGCTCACCATAGAGCCTTCATTTAAGTTTAATCATTTCCTTAAAGGCTCTATCTGCAAATACAGTCACAGCTTAAGGTACTAGATGAAGGTTAGGGCTTCAACATATTAATTTGGGGACACAGTTCTCCCCTTAACTGGTACTGTATCTTTGTATTGAGGTGTAGGGATATGGGAGATCCTTATTTCTATTTTTAGTGTTCAGTATAAAAATAAATACCTGAAAAAAAATATATTTTCAGTATTATAAAAGACTGAATAATTTCTTTTTCATCTTTCAGCCAAAATCTGAAGATGAAGAAGGCTGGAAAAAATTTTGTCTGGGTGAAAGGTTATGTGCTGAAGGGGCTATTGGACCAGCTACAAATGAAAGTCCTGGAATTGATTATGTACAAGTAGGTAATATGTGGATAAACAAAACAAAAAGTATTTTAATTTTGGTTTATCACTTAGTATAAAGGGGTCAGTGAACTACAACATGGGCCAAATATAGACTATAACCTGTTTTTATACACCTCATAAACTTAGAGTGGTTTTTATATTTCAAAAGGATTGTAAAAAAAGAAACAAACAAATAAAATGTTTACATGTAGTGAAATTATATGTGACCTGCAAAGCCTAAAAATATTCACCATCTGACTATTTATAGAAAATATTTGCCAACCACTGACTTAGCTTATAGATTCTATAACTTACGAAGTTTCAAAAATAATTTACTCTGGCTTAATCTAGATTGACTTCTTATCTCTTACGTTTTAACTATGTAAAAATAATTTTGAGTTGGATAGGATTTGGATTTTTTAAATGACTAGGTATAGGTCACATAAAGCATTGTAAGTAGTCACGGAAGCAAAAGAAAACATGACACTGTTAGAAAGATCCTCCAGTAAATCGCATATTTAAGAGATGAAATGTTGGGGGTATACTTAAATTTTACATGACTTTAATCATAATTATGTGGCCAGCTCCTTGTCTTTCAGAATTTATCTGCCTCTGGGTTTGCAGATGTTCCTATAGAACACATTGCATACATCTTCATTACTACTTCCTATGTTATATTGTTCTATTCAACAGATATGGTACCATATTGTTTTTTTCCTGTTTAAAACTTATTTTTTTCCAGGCCAGGCACAGTGACTCATACCAGAATCCCAGCTTGAGGCAGTAGGATCGCAAGTTTGAGGTCAGCCCGGGCAACTTAGCAAGACCACGTCTGAAAAATAAATAAAAGGGGATGGGGGCACTGAGGTTTGTGGCTCAGCAGTAGAGTGCTCGCCTAGCATGCATGAGACATTGGGTTCGATCCTCAACACTACATAAAAATAAAACAAAGATACTGTGTCCACCTAAAATTAAAAAATTAAATAAATATAAAGAAAAAGTGGGGGTGGATGTAGTTCAGTGGTAGAGCATTACTGGGTTCAAGTCCCAGTACTGCAAACAAAACAAAATAAATGTATTTTCAAAATATAAAGAACTCCCAAAATCATTAAAAAGCCAAGAATTAGCCTCCACCCCAAAACAAAATAAAACAAATAACCATCAAAAGATATAGACATCTTACAGAAAGGAAATACAAATTGTTCTTATATGAGAATATTCCCAACTTCACTTATAATAGAACTATAACTTTATACCTCTGCTGATCTACAATTTTTCAGGTCAACATATTGGCAAAGAAAGTTTGATATATTGTTTTGACAAAGCCTGGGAAAACAGGCACTCTTCTAACTAGTGTGGGAATATAAATAGACTAAAATCTTTAGGGAAGCTAATTTGACACTCTTTCTTAGACAACCTGTTATTCTTTTAGATAATATACTTAATGTATACTACATTTAAAAGTTTTAATTTCGTAAAGAAATGTATTTATTTATTTATCTTGTTAACAGAATATAGACAAGTAAAAATATACCATGTTAGAAAGATCATTTAAGGACATAAAGTTTAATGCATTAGTTCTGAAGTTTTGTTTAAGTCCATAGTGGTTGGCTGGTTGGTTTCTTTCTTTTTTTTTTTTGAGGTATGAGAGCTTGAACTTAGGGATGCTCTACCACTGAGTTACACATCACCAGCATTTTTTAGTTTTTAAGTCAGAGTCTCACTAAGTTGGCAGGCTAGCCTCAGATTTGTAATCCTTCTGTTTTAGCATCCCAAATAGGTGGGATTCTGTAATCCCACTGTGCCTAGCAGTATACTTTAAAAATTGAGTCAGATTAGGTTTAAAAAATACCATTCTAATTCAAATGCCCTTAATTGCTGAAAACTTTAACTTTCACTGAAGATTTTTAAATAGTGTCTATGATATATTAATATAACAATGTGTTGGGGCTGGGGATGTGGCTCAAGCGGTAGCGCGCTCGCCTGGCATGCGTGCGGCCCGGGTTCGATCCTTAGCACCACATACCAACAAAGATGTTGTGTCCACCGAGAACTAAAAAATAAATATTAAAAATTCTCTCTCTCTCTCTCTCCTCTCTCACTCTATCTTTAAAAAAAAAAAATATAACAATGTGTTATAATTTTATTGACTATATTTAACTTTTTCAAGTACCTTTTTTAAAATTTCATGCTTATGACATTTTGGTTACTAAAATTAATTTTAAATTTATATATTCACATTTTGAGATATTATTTTGTTGGGCCTTACAAACAATAGTTTCTAGAATGTCTCATAATGGGCAGTGAAACATTTTTTTTCTTTTATCTGTATTACTAAATAACTATGTAGCAAGAAATTAACTTGTTTGGGGAAAAAATGAAGATCTTTCTTATATGCATTAATAGATTTCAGTCTCATTTTTTTCTTTCAGATTGGTTTTCCTCCATTGCTTAGTATTGTTAGCAGAATGAATCAGGTAAAAATCCATCTAATAATGATATTATATGCATTATTTTGTTTGCAGTGTGTATAGAAGTATTCGAATACATTTATTTAATATTTACAACATGCAAGACCTTCTTGTATGCTCTTCAGTGGTTCTTTTTAATCCTTATTATATCCCTTTGTGGGGAGTTATTATTTTTCTTTCTTTCTTCTTTTGGAGGATACCAGGGATTGAACTTGGAGGCACTTGACCACTGAGCTATATCCCCTGCCCTATTTTGTATCTTTATTTAGAGACAAGGTCTCTCTGAGTTGTGTAGTGCCTCACTTTTGCTGAGGCTGGCTTTGAACTTTCAATTCTCCTGCCTCAATTTCCTGAGCTGCTAGAATTACAGGCATGCACCACCATGCCCAGTCTGTGGGGACCTGTGGGGAGTTATTATTAATAATCATTTTTTTATAAGTGAGGAAACAAAATTTAAGGGTAAGTAACTTGCAGGTAGTCAGGTGTGGTGGTACATGCCTGTAATCCCGCAACTCAGGAGGCTGAGGCAGGAGAATTGTAAGTTCAAGACTAGCCTTCGCAACCTAGCAATACCTTGTCTTGAAATTAACCATAAAAAGGGCTGAGGATGGATATAGTTTAGTGGTAAAGCACCCCTGGGTTCATTCCTCAGTGCAAAAAAAAAAAAAAAAAGAATTACTGGCTGGTGGTTTTTCAGCAAGTAAAAGCACTGGTATTCTATGCCAGATAAATCTAACTCTAGGGCTCATGCTTTTTAATATGGTGCCAGGGTATTCATTTATGTACATTTCAGCTATAATAAGTCTTAAGACACTGAAGTTTGAATGAATTATTAAGGTTAGGTTAACATTTCTAGGTCTAGGTATCTGACATATTATGTAAGATTGGGATCAAAAGGTAAAGATTAGGATCAAAAGGGGAGAAGTATAGAATTTGGTTCTTCAGTCTTTCAGGAGTAGGGACTCTGTTATCCATTTAAAAGATAAATACTTTGTTTTGCTTTTACATAGCACTAAATACCCTTGGAAGATAAAAAAAAAGAATTTTTTTTTGAGTGTCCTATTCAACTGGAAATCATTCTAGATGGTAGTTGCACTAAGTTGATTATTTGCATTTAGATACCTTAATGGTCATAGTAAGTTTCATCAGCATGATTTTTTTTAATAAGTACCCACAATATATGTATACCAAATATATAATGTGAACTTGTTTGCAGATAATATTTTCAATAGTGATTTAATCTGTATAGTTCTAAAAGAGATCTTTCTCTAGCTAATTTTTAGATTTGACCTTTTTTAAAAAATTTTTTTAGATGTTCATGGACCTTTATTTTATTCATTTATTTATATGGGTGTTGAGAATCGAACCCAGTGCCTCACACATGCTGGGCAAGTGCTTTACCATGGAGCCACAACTCCAGCCCTAGATTTGACCTTTTAAGTTGAGAAATAAATGGAAGTTATTTATACAAAGAATTGTTTTTAAGAGCAGATGAATTTTTTCAAGTAGTTACAAACTAAAATTAGTAGTTACAAACTAAATCCTAAGATTAAAACTAAAGCCTTAGTTGATACTTGAGAATGTAAGAATATTTGTGTTGGGCTGGGGTTGTAGCTGAGTGGTAGGATGCTTGCCTAGCATGGGAGAGGTCCTTGATTCAGTCCTCAGCACTACAAAAAAAGAAAATCAAAAAACAAAAAACCCAAGCAGAATAAATATATTTGTCTTAAAAATCTTTCCTTACTAGGTGAGACATCTGAGCAAATTACTAGTCAGTTTTCTAACTAAGCTTTGTGGAATTCCTGTTAAACTTGTAAATACTTTATTACTAATACAACTCTTTCCTATTCTATCTTCTTTTTTTTAGGCAACAATAACTAGTGTCTTGGAATATCTGAGTAATTGGTTTGGAGAAAGAGACTTTACTCCAGAATTGGTAGTATTACATCTTTTTTATTTCATAATGCAGGCAGGTTATATATATTTATAATAAGATGTTACTCTATAGTATTTATATTTAAATGTGTGTGTGTGTATATATATAGATACACACACACATACATACAAAAATGTGCTTGTTTGTAATAAAATTCAGAGCTTATACTAGATTATAAATCAATATGCTATTTCCTTCGTTGAGAAAGCTTTGCTTTAGGGAAAAAATATCAACTAAAGAATTGATTTATATCCTTGTGCAAGCTGTTTATCTCATGAAGATCACTAACAATTAGGTTACAGACTGATAATCAATTTGCAGGCTATATTTGGAGTAACACTAGCTTGAACAAGTTTGAAATGCATTTTATAAGATGGCCTAGAAATTCAGACCACAAAATCATAAAAAAATGGCATTACATGCCAAGCAAGCATTGTTCTAAGAACTTTGTATGGAAAAACTAATTGAACACTCCAGTAACATATGAACTGTAATCATCCTCCAAATTACAGATAAGGAATTTAAAACACAAAGGGTTTGGTAGATTGCTTGGGATCACACAGCTTATAAATGGCGGAACTTAGATTTAAGCCCAGGCAATCTGACTGTAGAATCTTTATTCCTAACAATTCTGCTGCACTATCCCTTTATTTAATTGCTTTGTATTCACAGCTCATTTCTCACTTTAAATTTGGGTAAATTTGGTGGATATTAAATAAATAAGTTACATGATTACTCCTCCTAATTTATGATTTTAAGAAATGTTATCATTCAACTGGGCAGAGTGGCACACACCAGTAATCCCGGTGCCTTGGGAGGCTGAGGTAGGAGGATTGCAAGTTCAAAATCAGCCTCATCAACTTAGCAAGGGCCTAAGCAACTCAATGAGACCCTGTCTCTAAATAAAAATATTAAAAAAGGGCTGGGGAGGTGGCTCAGTGATTAAATATCCCTGAGTTCAATTCTGAAACCAAAAAAAAAAAAAAAAAAAAGGATGCCGTCCTTTGATTTTTCACATTTTAGGATATTCACTAGAGTATATCCAGGTTCAGAGCTCTTTATCAAAGCATAAGATATAATCTTTGCCCTCTAGAAGCTTATAGTCTCCTGGGAAAGACAAATAAGCAACATAGTGTAACACATATTAGGCTTCCCAGACTACCTCAGCAAAGTGGCTTAGATAAGTCACTTCCATAAATACAATGAAAAATATATATATAGTTGTTGTGCTGGGTATTGAACCCAGAGCCTCACACATGCTAGGCAAGCTCTCTAACACCAAGTTGTACCCCCAGCCCTGGTGACCAAGGTGTGTGTTTGTTTGTTTTTTCACATTTTTTTTTCATTCTTTTAATTGTTGTTTTTTTTTTTTTTTTTTTTTTTTTGGTACTAAGGATTGAACCCATGGCCTTGTGCATGTGAAGCAAGCACTCTACCCACTGAGATATATCCCCAGCCCTTAAATTTTTATTATACCATGTACTTGGCCCACCCTGCCCCCCTCCCCCCACCAGTACTGGGAATTAAATTATTGACCACTTGCATTCTTTCTTATGTTTTGCAGTCATGATTAAATTATAAAAATTCACATTAATTTCTCAGGATATTTCTAATTTAGAATTATTGGATCAAATTTCTATAAGCCTTTGTTATATTTTGTGAGATTGTTCTCCTTAAGAAATGAACTGGTTTATATATGTTTCATCTTTTGTATATGTGTGTGTTGTTGAGGATTAAACCCAGGGCCCTGTGCATGCAAGGCAAGCACTCTACCAACTGAGCTATATCCCTAGTCCTGAACTGGTTTATAATATCATCAGCAGTGTATACTCAAATTTATTATTATTCTCTGCAATTCCATTCAAGTTGAACTATATGAATTCCCTTTTTTGTAACTTAAAAACATTTGATTATCAGCAACTCTGAATAGTTTGACCCAACTTTTTTATAGGTTGTGTTTATGTTTCAAACTAAGCAGATTTACTTTAAATTAAATGTAGTTTTCATTTCTTTTGATATCAGTAAAAACGTATTTATCCCATGGGTCGGTATATTAGCTATACCTTCAGAAGATAACTTTGTGTTCTTAGGCCACTTGTTTATCTAGATACTGAATTTAAAAATTTATATCATTTCTTTATATTTAATAGTAACCTCTTAAAACATTATTTGATTTGTACGCCTTCTTTTAATCTTTTTTTTTTTTTAATTCTTTGCTCTAAGATATTTTGTGTTCTTTTTAACATCTAAAGATTATCCATTCAAGGGGCTGGGGTTGTGGCTCAGTTGTAGAGCGCTTGCCTAGCATGTGTGAGGCACTAGGTTCAATTCTCAGTTCCACATAAAATTAAATAAAATAAAGGTCCATTGACAAGTAAAAAAAGGAAGATTATCCATTCAAGCCAGGCATGGTGGCACATGCCTATCATCCCAGCTACCTGGAAAGCTGAGGCAGGAGGATTGCAAGATCAAGGCCAGCAACTTGGCAAGACCTTGTCTCAAAGTAAAAAGGATTGAGGATGTAGTGGTGGAGTGCTTGCCTTGTGTGTTTTAGGTCCTGGGTTTAGTCTTTAGTAGTGCTAAGTAAATAAATAAATATTATCCACTCAAAAAGATGGTAAATTTGGCCTTTCCTGTTACTTAATGAAAGCATAGTACCAAAAAGTCTTTATAATATCATCAGAGGAATCATTAAGGTGTTTTCAAACCACTGACAGCTGACTCTGAATTTTAACATTAACCCTTTAAATGTAATTTTGAGTATTGTATCTTAGAAATCAAAGGATCTAATTCCTTTATCCAAGTAACTGTACTGTCCAAATAACCAGTAGAAGGAAAAAGGGGATCTTCTACTTTTTCTCGTCTTAAAATTACTGTTTAATGTTTTTGAGAAACATAGCCTTATTTTATCATCCAAGTGTGAACCTATTAAAAGTTTTCAGCTTTTTGGTTTGGTGTTTTGTTTTCATTTGTGGGTTTTGATTTTGTTTTCTAGCATAATCACAGTGATGTTAAGGAACCTCTCAGTATAAATATGTTACAGGCAATCAGTAGAGGTTTGGGGCAACTTCTCAGTGTAGAAGATATTTGAATACTAAATACTAGCTTTATATAATAAATGTTTCCGCTGAAAATTAGGCGAGTTTTAATTTTTTTAACCTAGAAGAGAATTCCACGACTCGTTAAGCAAATCAGGATGTGAATATTTTCATTTAAAGAAAAAGTGAAATTGCTCAGAATTAAATTGTGTATAGTGCTAGTAGTATACATAATTTTACTGGTTAAACTATGTTTGTAATAAATATAATTGATATAGCCATTCTTGGTTATACCATTCTTATGATGATTGTATCTCAGAAAGTTTAATGAACTACATACCCTTCAACACCATCATTTTATTTGTAATGTATAATAATAAACATTTCCATGTTATTAAATGGAATTTCTACATGCCATGTTGAGACTATCCAATGATGTTCTTTCATTAATACTGTTAAACAACATTGGGTATGTTTATTATGTGTTATAAATAAAGACAACTACAAAATGATAATGATGGAACTTTATTGAAAAAAGTTGTACATATACATAGGATAAAAGATGTTTTAAAAATCAGTAGAAAGTTTACCCAGATAACAAGAATGCTGTTTTTTTTTTTTTGTTTCTAATAATTGATTATAATTTTGTAATTGGAAAAAAAAGCCTATTTTAAAAAGGATTGGGACTAAATTCAGCTTGTGTTTGTAGAAGTACCAAAACACTATTTTGTCTCCAGAATTGTTCTTTCATATGAATCTAGGGGAAAGCATATAATGATTTGTATATATGTCTATAGTGGACAAAGAAAAGTGGATCTTAATTTTTTCAAGGATTTATATACATAGTATTTTAATTTTCGTCTGTGGTAAGAATTAATGAAATGAAGACTTTGAGCATCAGGGAATATTTTAAAGTGACCAGTGTCATGTGTCTATAAGAGTCATCACCTAGCTCTCCAGATGATCCTTTGTCTATATCCAAACATAATACTGTTACATGTTCTATGAATTATTTATAGCAAATAGCCAGGCACAATATTGGACACTTAGAAAAATAAATTATATTTATGGTTAAATATTTGTCTGGTTTACCAGGCATGGTGGCACACTCCTATAATCCCGTAGCTCAGGAGGCTGAGGAGGATTGCAAGTTCAAAGCCAGCCTCAGTAACTTAGCCAGACCCTGTCTCAAAATAAAAAATAAAAGGGATTAGGGATATGGCTCAGCGGTTAAGCACCCCTGGGTTAAATCCGTGGTACAAAAAAAAAAAAAAATTGTAACAATTCAGTACTTTTTAAAATTCTCTTTAGGGAAGATGGCTTTATGCCTTGTTGGCTTGCCTTGAAAAACCTTTATTACCTGAGGCTCATTCACTGATTCGGCAGCTTGCAAGAAGGTGCTCTGAAGTGAGACTCTTAGTGGTAAGTCATAACTTGTTATTTCGTATTAAAAGTATCAATTTATATGTCAATAAAGGAGGTTTCCAATAAATAGGAAAAATGTGGAATATTTTATTAGTTGGAATTAGATTAGCCCATAGAACAAAAAAGTTCCAAATAATAATAGCTTAAATAAAATAAAGATGTTTTTCCCAGAAAAAGGAAGCCTGAAGGTACATGAATAATATCCAAGATGACAATAACTCAGGCCTTTGAGTTTTGCCATTTGTGGCTTTCATCTTTGACTTAGTCCATTTTGTATTGCTGTAACAAAATACCTGAGGTCAAGTACTTTAATAAAGAAATGAGACTTATTTAGAGGCTGAAAGTCTAAGATTAGGTGTTGGCATTTGGCTACATCACACCATGACAGATGTCATCACATAGGAGTGTGAGAGTAGCAAGTGGCACAAGTTTAAGAGGGGAAGTGCCAAACTCACTTTATAATAGCACCTTGTCACAGGATTAATCTAGTTCCATGAGAACTGGAACTCCTACAGGACAGTATTAATCCTCTGAACAAGCAATCTTATTTTAAAATATGACTTTAAGTATTTCTCAAGTGAAAATTAGGGCCAGGCATGGATGTGCACGCCTGTAATCCCAGTGGCTTGGGAGGCTGAGGTAAAAGGATTCCAAGTTCAAAGCCAGCCTCAGTAACAGCGAGATGCTAAGCAACTCAGTGAGACCCTATCTCTAAATTAAAATTTATACAAAATAGGGCTGGGGAAGTGGCTCAGTGGTTTAGTGTCTTGAGTTCAATCCCCAGTACTCAAAAGAAAGAAAAAAAAAAGTTATTTTCATGCTTTGCATCTTAAACAGAAACTTCAAAAATATTAAAGAAATAGACTATATTTTAATATTTGCTTTCTTTATTTTAGGACAGTAAAGATGACGAAAGAGTTCCTGCCTTGAATTTATTAATCTGCTTGGTTAGCAGGTATAGTGAAGTAATTCTTGACTTTTGTTTATTTGTTCAAATACGCTCGCATGTGTGTGTGTTTTTTTTGCTGGGAATTGCCAGGGCCTTGTGCTTGCATGCAGGCAAGCACTCTACTAACTGAGCTACATCTCCAGTCCTACATTTGTAGTTTTTATTTGCCTAGATCCTATTCACTTTTAGATTGAGGCATTTTTTAATTTGCTATATATTTCTATATTAAAGTTCCACCTGAAATTTATTGGGAAACTTTTTTCTCAAATTCTAATTCTTAATAAATACATATTTACTTTAGGTCTTTTCCTATATATATGTTTTTATTCCATTGATAATTGTTTTTATTCTAATACCAGTACTTTTATAAAACTGCATAATACATTTAAGTTTTGGGATAAATAATTTCACATTCATTACTCCCTCTCTCAAACAGGTAACTTTTTCCGAATACATATTCTTTTTTTTTTAATATTTATTTTTCAGTTATCACACCATCTTTGTGGACACAACATCTTTGTTCGTATGTGGTGCCTAGGATCGAACCCGGGCCGCCCGCATGCCAGGCGAGCGCTCTACCGCTTGAGCCACATCCCCAGCCCCCAGAATACATATTCAACATCTAGTTTCTTCTAGGCATGGTGTTGTATGCCTGTAATCCCTGAGAGACTGGACTGTGGGGTTTGGGGGATATAGCAAGTTTGAGACCAGCCTGGGAAAGTCAGAAAGATCCTGTCTCAAAATATAAAATTAAAAGGGTTGGAGATGTTGGCCAGTAGTAGAGCGCCCCTGTATTCAATTCCCAGTACAAAAAAAAAAAAAAAAAAATCCCTATTCGTGTATTCGTTAGAACTTTTTTTCTGTTAAAAAAAAGACTTCACGGGCTGGGGATGTGGCTCAAGCGGTAGCGCGCTCGCCTGGCATGCGTGCGACCCGGGTTGGATCCTCAGCACCACATACCAACAAAGATGTTGTGTCCGCCGAGAACTAAAAAATAAATATTAAAAAAAAAATTCTCTCTCTCTCTCCTCTCTCACTCTCTTTAATAAAAAAAAAAAAAAGACTTCACAATTTGGTTATCCTGGAGTATGATTTCTTTTTTTTTTTTAATTTTTTTTAGAGAGAGAGAATTTTAATATTTATTTTTTAGTTTTTGGCGGACACAACATCTTTGTTTGTATGTGGTGCTGAGGACCGAACCTGGGCCGCACGCCTGCCAGTTGAGTGCGCTACCGCTTGAGCCACATCCCCAGCCCCATGATTTCTAATAACAAAAAAAAAAATGGTATTTAGAAACCACAACTTGGAAGTTACAGACTGGTTATTAAGTTGGTTATTGTTTTTAGGCCTTTTCAGTCAACAGAGCTAGGAAATAATGCACTTTCTTAGAAAAATAAAATCATGAGTTCAAATTGATATTTCAGTCCTAATTTAGAAGTATTTGATTTTTCCTTTAATGTTATTTAGTAGTCCATCCTATTCTAAGACCCACAGTGAATTCCTAAAATCATACATAGTACCAAACCCTGTAATTTAAGACCTTTTCCATCTTAACTAAACCCTTACTATGTACTGTTGCTTTAATGTTGCCAGTTTGAGGTACCACACCAAAACTACCATGAATTTTCTTCTTCTTCACAATTTCAGATAAGAAGTCTCATTCCCTTTTATAACTTTGAGACAGGGTCTCACTAAGATGCTAATACTAAGTTGCAATACTCCTGCTTCACTGAGTTGCTTAGCTCCTCACCATTGCTGAGGTTGGCTTTGAATTCCCAATCCTCCTGTCTCAGCTTCAAGAGCCACTGGGATTACAAGGATGCGCCACTGGCCCAGCTGCACCTGTTTTTAATCACATAAAATATTTACAACATTCCAGAATTCAAGATACATTTGGAGTGCTTTAGCATCTACTTTTATCCCGGTTCTCCTTTCTCCTATAAATAATTATTTTATTAACTTTTCGTTTATCCTTTCATTTTCTCTAAAAGTATAAATAAATATGTATAAGTAAACTTATGTGCCTACAAGACTAAAGTATACTGAACAATCTATTCTGTACCATGTTTTTTTCACTTAATCCTAGAAATCACTCTGTAGCAGTGTAGCTATTTTTCTAGTTCCTTTTGTGCAGTTTTCAGTCATTTATATGTACTGTAGTTTATTATTTCCCTTTATCAATGAATATTTGGATTGTTCATAGTCTTTTGCTAGTACAGGTAGTGCTATAATTAATATACTTGTGCATACATTACATTATTTTTCAGGTATTTTGACCAACGTGATTTAGCTGATGAGCCATCTTGATGTAGCTGATTTCTGAGGGATAGAAGCTATTTCTACTGAAGGCAGCCTAAGTCTGATGAAGTGCAATGCCAATTCAAGTACAAGCTGTTATCACTTCTTCAATCAACACTGTGTGAAAGGTCTTCATTTTAACTTGTGCAACTCAAGTTGATAAACAGAATATAGACTGAATTGATTTTCTGAAATATCTTTGGAAAATCCCACTTGGTGTTTGATGAACAATTTGAATAGTTTTCTGCAGTCACATGATTTAAAATAAATTGAGTGCCACTTATTGGTGAAGATGCCTGTATAGAAACTGTGTGATGAAATTTTATAAAGGTCCCCAGTGCTATTTCATTGTTCGTTACATGTCTTCATATAAATTTTGTTGAAAATGTGTTTTGGTTACCAAAACTTTGTTTTACTTTTGAACAAAACAAGATAATGTCCTTAGAATTAGAAAATAATCTAGATTAAATGGCAAATGTGAGTCAACAACAGAATTAATCAAATGTTTTCTCTTTAAGCTCAATAAGTTTATTAAGTGCTTTATTGCATAAACAGCTTTTTCTAACAAATCATTTTCAAAAATACCCTACTAAGAGGTAGAGTGTTTTAATTTTTCTGACAAGTCTTTTGTTTGTATGAATTTATCTGTTTCTGCATCAAATAGGAATGCTTTCTACTTGAGTAACAGAAGGTTTAAGTGGCAATGATTATACAAATAGGATTTATTTTCCTCACAGAACAAGAAAATAGAGGAATGAGCCACTGGCCTTGGTTCAGTGACTCAATAATATCAAAGTCTCAGATTTCTTTAGCCTTCTCTTCATGGCAACAAGATTGTGCTATAGTTGAAGGCAATGTGTCTCTATTCAAGACAGAAAAGGCTAGTGGTGCACACCTATAGTTGCAGCAGTTTGTCATGATTCCTGACGCAGGAAGATCACAGCCTCAGCAACTTAGTGAGACCCTCCCTTTCTCAAAACAAAAAGGCCTGGGCCTAGCAACTCAGGACACTGAGGCAGGAGGAGCCCAAGTTTGAAGCCAGTCAGCTTTTGCAAATTTAGGAAGAACCTGTCTCAACAAAAAAATTTTAAAAGGGCTGGGAATGTTAGGTAAATGATAAAGCACCTTTGGGCTCAACCCCCAGTACCAAAAGAAAAACCTTTTCCAGAATTCCCATCAGATCTGTGTTCCCCTATTGGTCACAAATGTCTAACATGATCATCTAAAGATGAGGAAATGAGGTTGGAAGCCTTTTCAGTCTAAAAGGAAGTGGAAAAGGTAATAAACATTGGGAATAAACAACACTGATCAGGCAACCAACAGCTGTGCCTCTAGTTTTAATAAAAGTAGATGAAATTTTGTCTATATTTTGTTAGTTGTCAGTTATTTGGGGGAGGAGGGCACAGGCAGGAAGAGTACTTAGGATTGAACCCAGGGCCTGGCACATGCTAGGCAAGCACTCTTATTACTGAGCTACATCCTCAGCCTTTTTTTTTTAAACTATTATTTTGAGACAAGGTCTTGCTAAATTAATTGTTCAGGATTTGTGATCCTTTGCCTCAGCCTCAGCCTCCTAAGTATGTGGGATGACAGGTGTGAGCTGCAGCACCCAGCTATAAAGCTCATTTTTAAATGGCAGCCTAATAGTCCAAGTACTTATTCACCATAAGTAAATGATAAAGCACCCTTGGGCTCAATCCCCAGTAAATGTTCTCATTACCTGATATAAAATTTGCTTTCAGTATAGTTTTTTTTTTTTCCTTTTCAACCTTCTTTTCCTTTGACCAGAATTCCCCCAAAGTTGGGCTCAATTTTTTAAAAAATGTAGAAATGGAATTGCTGAGTTAAAGGATGTGTTTTAAATTTATAAATGCTCTTTAAATGTGAATATTCACTTATATCTATGGTGCACACTATAAATATTTTCCTTTTAACATTCTCATGTTGCTTTTTGCTATGCAAACTTCATATTTTTTCTGTGGTAAAAAAGCTAAGAAATCCACTGTCCTAACACATTTAGGTGTACAACAAAGTATTAAATATATGCACACTGTACAGCCAATCTGAATTTCTTTAACCTGAATGACAAAAACTCTATACTCTAACAACTCCCGCTTATTCCTGACCCCAGTCCTGGCAACCATCATTACACTTGTTTCTATGAATTGAATACTTAAAATACATAAGCAAAATCATGTAGTATTTGTCCTTCTGTGACTGGCTTATTTCATTTAACATGATGTATTCAAGGATCATCCATGTTGAAGCATGACAAGATTTTCTTCCTTTTTAAGGCTCATATTCCACTGTATGTATATGCCATCTTTTTTTTTATCCTTGCATCCCTAGATGCTTAGATTGTTTTCACCTTTTGGCTATTAACAGTAATGTTGCAGGTGGGCATGGTGGCACATGCCCATAATCCCAGCAGCTGGGTAGGCTGATACAGGAGGATGGTGAGTTCAAAACCAGCCTCAGCAATTTATCGAGGCTCTGAGCAACTCAGAAGACTCTGTCTCTAAATAAAATGTTTTATTAAAAAAAGGGCTGGGGATGTGACTCAAAACACCCTGGGTTCAATACCCAAAACAAAACAAAAAATATGTTGCAGTGGCATGGGAGTGATTTCAATTCTTAACAGAGTGATCAGTCAGTCCAATGCATTTACTAAGGAAACTTTGTACAGAAGAGGCTGCTTTGTATTACTAAAGGGGACAGTAAAATGTTCTACCTAGCATGTCTGCAAAAAGGCGTTGTTAAATGGGTGTTGGCTCAAGGTGGGGAAATAGTTTTGGTGTTTGGATCAACATCGAATACCTTTTTGTCAGTAGGTAGAGAGAAACTGAAACAGACCAAGCATACAAGTGGATTTCTGGGTTACATGGTAGTTGTGCTTTAAAAATAAATTTAGGAGCCTTTATGCTATTTTCCATAGCTGCTGTACCAATTTACAGTCACTAACAGTGCATAGGGGTTCTAATTTCTCTACACTTTTTTTTTTTTTTTTAAAGAAAGGACTCTTGTCACTCAGGCTGGGCTCAAACAAAAGATCCTTCTGCCACAGCCTCTCAAGTATCTGGAATTACAGGTGCACCCCACTGCAACTCACCGTGTATGTGTGTGTTTGTGCTAAGAGCTTGTGGTGGTATCTCATTATGGTTTTGATTTGCATTTCCCAAACTAATTATGTTGAACATTGTATGCATATACCTATTGGTCATTTGTATGTCTTCTTTGAACAAATGTTTTTTCAGTTCTTTGCCTATTTCTCAACCCAGTTGTTTCTATTACTGAGGTACAAGAATTTCTAATGGTCTGGGGATGTGGCTCAAGCGGTAGCGCACTCGACTGGCATGCGTGGGGCCTGGGTTCGATCCTCAGCACCACATACAAACAAAAGATGTTGTGTCCGCCAAATACTAAAAAATAAATATTAAAATTCTCTCTCTCACTCTCTCTTTAAAAAAAAAGAATTTCTAATGTATTCTGTGTATTATCCCTTATTAGATTTATGATTTCCAAATACATTTTTTCCTAAGTTGCTTTTCACTCTGTTGCTTTCTTTTCTGTGCAGCTTTTTAGTTTGATAAAATCCCATTTGTCATCCTGCTTTTATCTTGCTGAGGGTGTGACATGCAATAAATTATTGCCAAAACAAATGTTATATAGCTTCCCCGTTTTCTTCCAGAAATTTTCAGATTTTATGTATATGTTCTCAATCCATTTTAAACTGGTATTTATGTATAATGTTAAGGCAATGACCCAATTTCATTCTTTTGCATGTGGACATTCAATTTTCCCAATATTTGTCGAAGAGATGTTAGTTTTAGTTTGCCATTTTCCTTTATGATTTTCTACATTTGTGTTTTGGAAAGGCCTTCACTACAAGATCATAAGAGTAAATGCATATTTTCTTTAGCACTGTAGGATTTTACTGTCTTAACAACACATCAGTCTTTACCACCCCACCCCCGGCAAAAAAGCTTATTTGTCCTATACTATTTCTTGAATAATCTAACTCTTCCTTGTTTCTACTGAGAGGTTTCTTTTGGGCTATAAGTAATCAAATACACAACGAAAAGTGGATTGAATGTCATAAGGAATCTGATATCTCACCTAATTAAAAAATTAATAGGTAAAATAGTTCCAGAATTAAGAAAAACAATTCAGGTATGTTTTATCTGCATCCTCCTCAGTGTGATGGCTTTCATCTTCATTCTTGTCATTTCATGGTCAGCAAAAGGCTGTTGCACATAAACCCCCAAAGCCTTCATTCAACCCATACCTTCACTGAGAAGCAGAAAGGAAACAGGGGAGGGGGATCCTTTTTTCTTTTTTCTTTATAATACTGTACCTTTCTCTGAAAGAAAAATGGTATACCTCTAATTTAACTGAATTTTCTCTTCTATTTCATTCTTTTAATATAAATTTTCAACCATTTTATTATAAGGAGTCATACTTCTTTAACTTGCCAGTTTCACACAGTGAAACATTTTATTTGGCAAGTCACTGACTCTCAGGCAGAGTTCCCTATCAGATACATGCACAAGAGTAATAATAATGAAATGGGAAACAAAGTACAGTTTTAAAAATCAAAGTGCAGATACCCCAACATTTAGAGTTCTAACAAAAGCTTAAGAGGTATCTGCTTAAGCCAGATAATCTAAGAAAGATGAAGTAATCGGAAGAGGTGCTAAGAGATGCTAGATAAGAAATGACCCCAACTCACAGAGAAGATGTGATCAATGAATGTTGGTATAATTAATTATTTACTCCTCTGCCCTTTCAGCAAAGTAAATAAGGGGATAAAGATGTTAGAACTTTAAACAGCAATCGGGTGCATGGTGAAAAAAGTTGAAAGGCAGATTTTACCAAGAATAAGTATAAAATTTCCCACAACATGCCTAATATTCCTTGGCTTTGGAGTCACCAAATTCATTTAAACTAATCTATATTTCACTTTGACTACATTAATGGAGCTATGAAGGACTAAAATCTAGTGAAATTAAGCTTTCAAGCCATTTAGATAGTCATATGTATTTAAGTAAATATATACACACACACAATGTATACATGAAATCATGCATAAAAATTCTCAATAAAAATAAGTTATAAGCAATAAAATAAAAATTAAGCTTAATTTACTATACTGTTTGCTGTATAGAAATAATAAAAAAACAAATCCATACATTATCAAAGTTTTGTCATTCTTACACAAATATTCTGACTGGTGCACACTTTTCTTCATGCTAATTTAACAAATCCTTGCTTTTGCTTCTCCACCTGTGGTTAAATACATATCTCTAAACAAAAATGTTTAAAGAGTCCTATACGGTGTCCAGTTATTTGAAATTAGGTTTTCATTTTGAATAGTTTCAATAAGAAGTTTATATCCTAACAGAATGACCCCTTGTCTTAGTCTATGTTAAACAGATGAAACAGACCCTCCTATACAAACATCCAACAATGTATTTAAATCATATTATTTGAAATACTTTATACATGAATAATTTATCTCTTTACACTGTGGAAGCTTTGCATTTCAGTATGTTCTATAGCTTCTGTATCATCACCTGAAATTTGCCTAAAAAAAGAAAACATAAAAATAATTTTTGATTTGAAGTACAAGGAAAACAAGCCTGCACATAAAATTTTCTGTTCTACTAAGGAAGCAGTTTCAGTCAAGAAACTTGCTGTGTCAAAAAACTTTTCACATTCCTCACAATATTCAAAAAATTTTTATTGGATGATTATCTGGTTCAGGAGTGGGTACTTTTGTTTCTTTTTGTGTTTCCTACCTTCCAGTATTTCAGTGCTAATTATCACTGTGAATAGGTAATATAGTAAAGCTCAAGTAAATTTTATTCTTGGCTGGCAGCTGTGGTTATAAGATCCTTTTTATATATATATATATATATATATATAGTCTTTTTTTTTAAAGAGAGAGAGAAACTTTTTAATACTTATTTTTTAGTTTTCAGCGGACACAACATCTTTGTTTGTATGTGGTGTTGAGGATCCAACCCAGGCCGCATGCATGCCAGGCGAGTGCGCTACCGCTTGAGCCACATCCCCAGCCCGGTTATAAGATCTTTAAGAAGGAGTTTAACAATAAGACTAATTGAGGGCTCAGTTGGTACAGTGTTTGCCTTGTATGCACAAGGCCCTGGGTTCAATCCCTAGCACCATAAAAAATAAAGACTAGTTAATTTAGCTTTATATAATAGACATATTCTAAACAATTATTTAAAAGATATTTTCAATGCTATTGGGAAAACTCCTCCTTAAATAAACACTACAGCCAGGCATGCTGGAACATGGCTGTAATCCCAGAGATTTGGGAGGTTGAAGCAGGAGGAACACAAATTTGAGACCAGCTTCAGCAATTTAAGAAGGCCCTGTCTCAAAATAAAAATTAAAAAGGGCTGGTGATGTAGCTCAGTGGTAAAGTGCCTCAGTACCAAAAAATTTAAAAATAAAAACACCACAGAGGCTTGAGTGATATAGCACTTGCCTAGCATGTGTAAGGCCCTGGGTAGGTTGCCCAGCCCTCTAAAAGACAAAAAAAAAAAAAAAAAAAAAAATCTGGGATGGGGAAAGACCCGCAAACATTTATAAGAAATGTAAATTCAGGGGTTGGGGTTGTAGCTCAGTGGCAGAGTGCTTGCTTAGCATTTGTGAGGAACTTGGTTTGAATTCTTAGCACTGCGTATAAATAAATAAAATAAAGGTCCACTGGCAACTAAAATAAATAAATATACATATTATATATATATATATATATTATTTTTTAAAGGAAATGTATATTATATATATATATATTATTTTTTTAAAAGGAAATGTAAATTCAACTTACAGGCAGGCATTGAAGACACTTCAGCTGTTACAATACTTTTTATCCCCAAGTTTGATAAGCCACCTCTGATTAAGCCACAGGTAAATGCTAGATACTAAATGGAAAAATTGGAAAAATAAATAAATGAGAATTTATTGATATTAAAGCTACTAAAATATGCCATTAGTTAAGTAATGCTACCAATAAATCACTGATGTTTAAAAATAAGAATGTGGGGCTGGGGATGTGGCTCAAGCGGTAGCGCGCTGGCCTGGCATGCGTGCGGCCTGGGTTCGATCCTCAGTACCACATACCAACAAAGATGTTGCGTCCACCCATAACTAAAAAATAAATATTAAAAAAAAAAATTTTTTTTAAATAAGAATGTTGTGAATAACCAGGCAGGGTGGTGCATGCCTATAGTCTAAGCTACTCAGGACACTAAGGTGGAAAGATCACTTGAGCACAGGAATTTTAAGCCATTCTGAGCAACATAGCAAAATCCTGCATCAAAAAACAAGGGACTGGGGTTATGGCTCAGTGGCAGAGCACTTGCCTGGCATGTGTGAAGCCCTGAGTTTGCTCCTCAGTACCACATATAAATAAACAAACAAACAAATAAATAAATAAATCCATTGGCAACTAAAAAAAAAAAAATACAAACAACCCCAAAAGTTGTGGAAAAACTGTTTAAGTTACTAAAAAAATCTGATTATTATAAAATGTCCTAGCTCCCTGGCAACTAAAAATGTATGGACATGTGACTTAAGCTTGGCTAATCAGGTGTTCCAGTTCAGGACCCAAATCTACAATAACATTAAAATGATAGAAACCAAGTTACATTTTCTTCTGGGGACGGCAAATGTTGTTTCTGTCTACTGTCCATGCTGCCCACAGGATTCTAAGTAGGGCCTCCCAGTAATAATAATTTGGGTCATGTTCTGGCTGCTTTAACCGTTTTTTGCCTGTTTTCTGAGCCCTCCTAATCACTCTGTAAATAAACTAACAATATTTCATTCAATCAGAGTTGTTTTCTATGATCTATAGACAAGAATATGAACTTATTCAAGATTTATAGCCTGCCGGGCACCAGGGCACATGCCTGTAATCCCAGCAACTCAGAAGGTTAAGGAAGAAGATTTAAAGTTGAGGCCAGCTTCTATAATTTAGCAAGACTTTGTCTCAATATCAAATATTAAAAAGGGCTGGACCAGGCACAGGGGTGCATGCCTGTAATCCCAGTGGCTCAAGAAACGAAGACAGATAGATCATGAGTTAAAGCTAGCCTCAGTCTCAAAATAGCAAGACCCAGTCTCAAAATAAAAAATAAAATGGGCTGGGAATGTGGCTCAGTGGTTATGCACCCATGGGTTCAATTCCTAGTACCAAAAAAGGAATACATTTATAGCCTGTGGAGATAAAAATTATCATCTTCATATCAATAATGCAAATGTTAAGAAACCCTGTTATAAAGAAACAAACAAAAAAAGAGCCAGGTATGGTGGCACACTCCTGTAATCACAGTGACATGTGAGAAGAAAATGTAACTTGGTTTCTATCATGTTTCTGTCAGAGGCTGAGACTGGAGGATCACAAGTTCAAAGCCAGCCTCCACCTTAGCGAGGTAGTAAGCAAATCAGTGAGACCCTGTCTCTAAATAAAATACAAAATAGGGCTGGGGGGGGCTGGGGATGTGGCTCAAGCGGTAGCGCGCTTGCCTGGCATGCGTGCGGCCCAGGTTCGATCCTCAGCACCACATACAAAAAAGATGCTGTGTCCGCCAATAACTGAAAAATAAAATGTTGAAATTCTCTCTCCATCTCTCTCTTCTCTCTCTTTAAAAAACAAAAAATTAAAAAAAAAAAAATAGGGCTGGGGATGTGGATCAGTGGTTGAATGTCCCAGAGTTCAATCCCTGATACCTTCCCACCCCGCCCCCAAAAAAGGAATGGAGCTGGTCTACAGAAGGGAAAGTCATGACAGGAATGAAGACTGAAAAATTAATAATCTAAGGAATATTTTTATTATCTACATTTTTTTGCACTACATGATATTCAATACTATTTACTAATAATATAAAATTTTATAATTAATGCACACAAATAGTTACTAATAAGTAATTACACGTAAGTCAACAAATTTTGAACTGGAGGAGACCGTAGATTGCTTCTCATTGGTAGTGGCACATGTCTATAAACCCAGCAACTCAGGAGGCTGATGCAGGAAAATTTCAAGTTCAAGGTCAGCCTCAGCAACTTAGCAAAACTCTGTCCCAAATAAAAATAAAAGGGCTGGGTATAGTTCAGTGTTATAGGATACATATACTCAAAGAAAGATTGTTTATCCCTAGAGTTCTTAACCTGGGAATCTATGAGGACCAGGAAAATTAAAATCATTCATACATATATATTTATTGGGAAAAAGCGATCCAATATAAAAATGTCCATAACCAGTGCTTGCCTAGTATGTGCCAGGCTCTGGATTCATCCCCAGCATTTCCAAAAAAAGACACATGTCTGATGTGGTTGTGGAACGTGCTGTTAATGCCAGCAACTCATGAGGCTAGAACAAGAAAATTGCTAGTTCAAAGTAGGTCTTGGGAATTTAAAGAGACTCTGCCTCAAAATAAAAATTGTTTTAAATGAATGGTGATGCAGCTCACTGGCAGAGCTCTTGCCTAGCATGTGCAAACCTCTGGGTAGAATCCCCAGTACCACCAAAAAAAAGTCCATAAACTCAAAATATTTAAAAAAACCACTGAACCACACAGCTAATTCAGGAGGCTAAAGGAGAATCACAAGTTTGAGGCCAGCCTGGGAACTTAGTGAGATCCTGTCTTAAAAAATAAAGAAGTTGGGGGATGTACTCAGTAGTAGAATATTACCTAGTATGTGTAAGGTCCTGGGGTTCAATCACCACCATCACCACCACCACCACCACCACCACCACCACCACCAC